ATGAGGACCCCGATTGAAAATCCTGAGATATAAAGAACACATATGCAAACAGTTCACAAAAACTCAAATGCTTCCCAGTTGGACCGAAAACCTGAAGCAAAAAATACGGAAGTTCACCCCGACAACTCGGACACCCAAGTAGCCTGGATGAGGGGCAACTGTTATGGACTCGTATAAAGGGCCCATTGTATGATAGGCCCAACAAGGGGCAATCCAAGATTTAAATCAAGTATAATTATGGATAGTATCCATTAAGGATACTAATCCTAATGCGACAGCATGGAAGACAGGCCTGGGCCCTCATCAGAGGTACTAAAGGTCCACGTCATATTATCCACAGGTAACTCTTATAAATAAGAGGTAAACCCTAAAGGTACGTTATGTTAGAAACTGGCCTTGAAGGCCGTAGGCATGTGAGGATGAAAACAAAATTTTCAAAGCGGAATTACACATACCATATCAAGAAACATGCTGTAGGACATGGATGTTACCTTTTTTGCTTTCCAAAACTTGAACATGATCAAGGTGAGTCTTGAAGATACAAGCCCTGTAATGTTGATCCACACCACCCTTTGTCAAGACGGAGGAACTCTTCTTCAAGGCCACCAACGAACACCAAGGGAGGCAAGCTAAGCGTCCCTAATGGAGAGGTAGGAGGCAAGGTTTCAAGGTGTTTAGTTGAGTGAATTTTCAGCAAGAAAAAACACAAAAGTGGCGCATGGAATTCACTTAGAAAGTGCTAGGTAATTTTCAAAACTCTCTTAAGAAGAACCTCACAAAAGGATGACCAAAGGAGATGAGAGAATGAGTGAATAAAAATCTAATTTCTTCACTAAAAAATCAGCCCTATGTAGCGCACACTAGGAGAGGAATGAGTGGAGTTGTTGCAAATCAAATCTTGCCAACAACCTCCTATCATATCCTCATGATATCAAGTGCTTATCTCAACAAAAATCTGACTTAACAACCATCATATGGCCAGCCATATGGTGCGCCCCATTCAGCCTCAAAACAGTCCAGATACATTGAGCAGTTGCATTCAAACTTGAACCAACTCACTCACTTATTCTCTCAACAAACCAAATCTAATTGGAGCTCATTTGGTTGATCCTATGACCATCACAAGACCCCAAAATCAGTGCCCCAAATCAGCCTTGGATGATGCTCAAAGATCTCCTCTTGATACTTGGGATTTGTTCCAACAAGATCTTACCTTATCCTTTTGTTATGAAACAACTTTTCATAGCCAATTCAAATTCAAATTCAAACATTTAAATTCAAACATTCAAACATTTAAATTCTAAATTCAAATTCTAAATTTAAATTCTAAATTCAAATTCAAATTTCAAAATTCAAATTTCAAATTCCAAATTCAAAATTCGAATTTCAAAATTCAAATTCAAAATTCAAAATTCAAAATTTAAAATTCAAAATTTAAATATTTGATAATTAATTTAACTAATTAAATTAATTAGTAATGTATTGGACCATCCAAGCCCATTACATGATCCATGCGCCCTTTTCCTTTTTGGTGGGCTTCCAAACTTCTTCTTGGGCTAACAACCATTATTAGGCCCAATACCTTTAATGCTATATTATCATGACAATAAGGTGTTAGTGTGTGACCCATTAGGCCCAACATAGCCACTGACATAAATGGGCTTGGGCCCATCAAGCCCACAACCCATCTAATGACAACATAGAGCACTAGCAATGTTTTGTTGCCCCAGAGCTAGTTAGGTTAATGACATAATCATCCCATTACACATATTTGGTTGCCGTATGTATTTCATTTCGTCTCGGTTACCTTCCCATTAAACCTAGGGTAAGGAAACGTATCAACCCTTGCGGTTTAGGGTAAGCTTTATTCGAAATAGGAAATCTTCAATTTACTAACTCTAACGACAGATCATCTCATGACCTCTTTTACTATGCATAGATTCCTGAGTCCTTGTAAATGTCATCCTGATTTCTTCGGTTTACAGATAACCTAATCTCTCACAGAGATTTGACGAATTCCTTCAGCTTATCACCCTAGCTTTGTGCTCTTTCAGGACAAGCCCAACAGTGTACCTATGAGTCTCCATGTTTCAGGCAGACGAGGTATACAGTCAAAGCGTGCCTTCTAGAACACAGTCTAGGTAATAACTTCTAGTCTAAAGAAAGATATACCCAAATATAAAGAGACTACTCTAATGATACTCTCTGTGAGATTTCCTCATAGAGTCTCTTTGTGGGTCTGTTCAGTGCGAGCTATACCCTTATAGGTCCACCCACGACTTTAGCTAAGACATCTCCATATCTGTAGCAGATGAGGTCTTTACCTTGTATCCAAATACAAGTAGATAAGTCGTGCTAGTCTTACCCGAGATCACTGATCCCCATTCTCAGTGACTCTAGACTAGGAACATAGAATTAGGAATAAACGTGCGGTATCCTTGAATCCTCATAATCGTGATCTCATCACAGATACTCAAGAAATACCTGTTCTATTCCAAGGAGTTTATCCAGTTTATTCATAATATATTAACAATAATATCGAGACAAAATATGAAACAGGATAAAGAGTGCTTATTATTTATTTGCGACAAAAAGGTCCACATCTTATGTCCTTATTTAATCAAAAAAATTGTCTCTAGGACACCCATATACTAACACGTTACACTCTCTCTCTTTTACTGTTATGCTGTCACTGTGCGCGCACACACACCCTATTGGCAAAAGTCGTTATTAGTTCATTGTGCACAGTGATCGGCTTGACTCAAGGGTATCTCCTTCATAGATACCTTGGAGAGGGAACTAGATCCAAGATTAACATATCAGTCTATTGGGCTGGACATCTCTGTCTCCAAGACAGAACATACACCACTAACCCTTTTTTTATTATTAGAAGAATATTAACCTTTGATATCTGTGAAGATACCTGCTTTTATGTATTATTTTTTTTTAATTCTGGTTTGCCTCTAGTGACCCATATTATTTTGATTTTTATTTTTGACTAAGTGGGGAATTATAGGGCAATGTTAAAATTTTCCTAATAATACTGCAGAAAATCCATGTAGTACTTTTTACGTTACATAACATGTCATGCCTTGCTTACTATTTCAACCAGTTAATAAAATTTATCAATTAATGAAATAATTTAATTGCTTTTGTTTTCTGTCTATTAATTAGTAGATATTAGCTCTGTGGTACTGCCTAAAATTTACAATTATGTAAAACTAATAAAAATTAAGAAGGGGAGACATGACACCCATTTGATGTTGTTCTAAGAGGGTGCAAGACAACCTTTCCGATTTTTTTTTTTAATTTCTGTTTCCGGGAACATAAATGGATAGAAAACTCCTTTGGTAAACTCGATTTATTTTTTTGTTCCCTGGATGAAACGATTTAATTTTTGTGCTGGGGAACAGAAAAAAAAAATAAAAAAATTTCTGCTTTTATATTCCGGGGCACAAAATGAGAAATACTTATTTCTCTCAATCACTATCATCATCATCACCACCACCATCATCCCGACACGACCATCGCCACCATCGTCGCCTCTATCGTTGTACCACCAATGTCGCCATCACCACCACCAGCAGGATGCCATCGCCACCACCTCCACCCATCGCCACCGTCACCACCGCCACCATCACTGTCACCACCTCCACTGCCACCAACCACTACCACCATCATCGCAGCCACTGTTGTCACCACCACCACCATAACCATCACCACGCCATCGCCACCACCAATTCCACCACTGTCACCAACCACCACTACCATCGTCGTAACCACAACCATCACCACGTCATCGCCACCACTACTTCCACCATTGTCACCAACCAACACTATCATCGCCGCAACCACTGCCATCACCATCACCAACCACCACCACCATCGTCGCAGCCACTGCTATCACCACCACCACCACCATCGCCACCATTACCACAACCACTATGCCGCCACCATTACCACCATTAGGCCATATAATGGGTCTGATTCTTCCTTGGACCTATTCATGAGGAGAGATATTATGTTCTAATTATAAGTTATGAAACTCGGAGTTTCACATCGAAAACAGGTTTTAGTGTGGGATTCATATGAGTTTTGGGTTTTCTTACCTTACAAATTAATTTTTGTATTGTAGAGATAATTTTAGTTTGTATGGTAGGAAAAACATTAATCCCTAATAATAAATAAAACCGGCTGTGAAAAATCAATGTAAAACAAGTTATTTTGAAGAGATTACAAAATCTCTTTTGCAGGATATGCTTGTTATTTTGGGTCCGACACTACATCTCAACCCAAAACCTTAAGATAATAGGGTTCATGGGTCATTCCACTTATATGGACTTCATTTAGCCCATTATCAACCAATGTGAGACTTGTCACACTTGAATATTCCAACAATATTCCTCTCAAGTGTGAAACCCAATATTGGTATGCTCTCCCTCAACCGAGTATCCATGGCCAAATTACTCAACCTGGCTCCTAGCCAATCACCATCAGGCTAGCTCGAGCCTAATTCGACTTTGATACCACTGTCAGGCGGGGTAAAGGTAAAGTCCGTGGCTGGGGATCACCACTAATGGGCTATGTAAAATAATAATAGACGAGAGGAACATTGAAATAAATCTGTATATTGAATTGATTCAGGATAGTACAATATATAAAGAAATACTAATGGGCTTAGCCCATACTTAACCTAAATCCTAATGAAATAAGTAAATAGATATTTACAAATAATAAAGATAACTTAAAGATATTCTTTCCAAAGATATTCTTTCCAACCAGTGTTATCAAAACCGGACCGACCCGGCCGGGTCGGCCCGGAAACCGGTGACCCGGTCACTAAACCGAGCCGGTTTGTTTGTTGGATCGGACTTGTCACAGACCCGGTGTCAACCGGCCGGGTTTTAGGAAAACCGGTGAACCGGACGGGTTTTAAACAAACCGGACGGGTCATGCGTATTAATTAAAAAAACAAAAAAAACTCAATACGACGTCGTGTAATGAGAATCACATCTGATCAGTTCTTTTCTTGCTTTATTCTCGGTCTCAACTCTCAAACCCTCTCATCTCAACTCAAGTTTTCAACTTTCAAGCACTTCTTCGCCTCAAATCTCAAAGCCCCTTCGTTGCTTCTGTGGGTGTTGGAGATAGAAGATCAAGGAGGGTAACTTAGATCAACTCAAAGGTAAATGCTTTTCAACTTTCTGAACCACTTTTTGGACAGTCCATATTTGGATTGCTTTATCTTTTATTTGCTTCGATTCGATCATACAAGTTGCAATGGGTTGTGATAAGAAGGTGGGAATTCAATTTGCAATTGAATGGGGTACAACATTTAAGCTTGTTAAGAAATTATGGTTGCATTGAATGTTGCTATTTTTATTTTATTTTTTTTGAAGTTGAATTTAGTGTCTGTGATGAAATGTGTAGCTTGGGATTTGAAAACTTTTGTGGTGTCAAGCTAATGGTTTTGTACTATTTATGCAGATACCTCCAAGAAAGAGTGCAGCTTCTTACAGGTTTGTGATTGACTTCAAATTATAGATCCTTAATTTATTGCACAATTTATAAATTAATTTACATAAACAAAATGAAGCTTATTTGCACAAACTAGCTTGGTCTTTATTGACAAAACTAATAGATTTATGGGTACGGGTTTTAGTTGGCAAATATGGAAGGAAGAAAGATATTAGAAGAGAGATTTCTGTGAAGCATTACGATTCCCCATTGTGGAAGGCTTTAGGTAAAGTTTGGGAAGAGTTCTTAAAGGGTTTAAGATGGGAACCTTTGAATGGTGAATCAATCAAGTTTTGGAGGGATAATTGGTTAGGCTTGGAGCATAATCTTGAATCAGTTTCTAAGTATCCTTTGGAGGAGGTAGAAGCTGAGCAGAGTAATGCATCTTGTGCCATAATGATTAACGGGGATTGGAGTATTTCTTATCTTCAACATTTCTTAGAAGATGATATAGTTAGCTTGATCTTGAGCAGACCTCCTCCTGCCCTGCAAAGTAGAATAGCTTGCATTCCTCTATTACATCTTCAATATTCATTCCAACATTCTTATTGTTTCCTTGTTCTTCAATTTCCTTATGATTTGACTCAAGAAGTATTCCTAATAAGTCATTCTTTGCAGCTTCACCAGCCTTTAGTGCTTTCTCTCTCTTGTTAATTATATCCTTAAGCGAAACTTTTACATCTCTGTAAATTTGCTTCATCCTCCGTTGGGTATTATTAGGTAGAAACCTACAAATAATCGTAAATTATCATGATACGAAGGGAATGCTCATTCAAATATTTACTTCTAGATCTAGTGGTTGTTCTGTCAACGGTAAACATAGTTTGGTTTTCCATCTGCTAGTGTTTTACTTTTGCAAGTGGCAATTCAGACCCTGCATCTCATCTTCCCATCACAATATTTCCTAAATAAGTGGACATTGTATATGAGACAAAGATTCTTATTCTGTACGACAAATGTAACTTAAATGAATGAAATTTTTTCCTATTCATGTTGCTATTTAGAGACCACAAATTCATATCACCATAATTGGTAAATTGCTTGTTGTTAAAACAAATTTATTTGATTCTTAATGAAAAATATTATTTGGTAAATGTTGTTTCATGTCTGAAATATGGTAAGTTTAGATCAGTTAAACAAAACTCCTTTAACAAAACAAGAAAGAGTGCAGCTTCTTACAGGTTTGTGATTGACTTCAAATTATAGATCCTTAATTTGATTGACTTCAAATAAAATAACTAATTTATAGAATTTTATTTCACAATTCTAACCGAAATAAGTTTATTTGTTCACAATTTTATTTTCAAACAGACTATTGTATATAGAGTTTTTTTATATGTGTGTGTGTGTGTGTTGGTGCTGGTTCATTAACCTGTTGAATTTTTATTTGAATTTGGTTTGATTTATAGCTAGATATGTCATCTACTGGACCTGAAGCACCAGTCTCACAAGAAATTTCATCTCAACAATCATCTCAAAGAAATCAACATAAGGGAAAAACTGATCCAAGTTGGGCACACTGTAAACAACGTGTTGAAGAGAATGGAAAAATTGTTCTAATATGTCTTTATTGTGATAAGATAATCAGGGGAGGCGACATCAATCGACTGAAGATTCACTTGGTAGGAGAAAAAGGGCAAGTTGAACAATGTAAGAAGGTTCCAGCAGATATTCGTTTTCAAATGATGCAAAATATTGATGAGGGCAGGAACAAAAAAAGAAAAGTTCAAGAGGAATATGAAGATAGTAATCCATTAGATGAAGATCAAGTGAGAGTAGTTGATGAAGTGCCACAAAATCCATCAAGAAAAGCACCTTCTACATCTCAAAAGGGGAAGAGTATTAATCCTTTAGGTTCTTATTTTATGCCTAGAACAACTCCTGGAGCTCAACCTGACATAAAAAGTGTGTTGCAAAGTAAAGAAGTAATGGAGAAGTGTGACCTTGCAATTTCCAAATGGGTGATTGATGCTGGTGTGCCATTTAATGCTGTTAATTCATCATATTACCAACCAATGATTGATGCTATTTGTAGCATGGGCTCAGGGTATAAAGGTCCAAATTTTTATAGAGTTCGTGGTCATTTGTTAAATAAGTGGGTTGGAGAAGTCAATAAACTTGTTGAGATTTATTGCACTGTTTGGAAGCAAACAGGATGCACTATTATGGCAGATGGGTGGACTGATCGTTGTAGGAGAACTCTTATCAATTTTCTAGTTTACTGCCCAAAAGGAACTATTTTTCTCAAGTCGGTTGATGCTTCTAATGCTTCTAAAACTGCAGATTTATTGTATAAGCTTTTTAGAGATGTAGTGTTGCATGTTGGCCCTGAAAATGTTGTTCAGATTGTGACTGATAATGCTGCAAATTATGTTGTTGCTGGAAGGTTATTGGAGGCTGAGTTTCCTAAGATTTTTTGGTCTCCTTGTGCTGCTCATTGTATAAATTTGATGTTACATGACATTGGGAAGCTAGAGGAAGTAAGTGTTGTTGTGTCTCATGCTGCCACAATTACCAAATACATATATAACCATTGTCATCCATTGCATTTGATGAGAAAATATACAGGTGGAAGGGAAATTCTTCGTCCAGCTCCTACTCGTTTTGCCACTAATTTTATTGCATTACAAAGCATATTGGCTCAAAAAGATGCATTAAGGGCTATGGTAACTTCTAGAGATTGGACAAGCTCAACTTATTCTAAGGAGGCCAAGGCAAAAAAATTTGTGGAACAAGTTTTAGATTCTAATTTTTGGAAACAATGTGCTGAGATTGTGAAGCTTACTGAGCCACTTATTCGTGTGTTACGTATTGTTGACAGTGAAAACAAACCTGCCATGGGTTTTCTTTATCAAGCTATATTTAAAGCTAGAGAGGAGATGATAAAGAGATTTCAAAGAAACAAGAAGAAGGTGGAACCTTACTTGAAAATCTTAGATCGTCGTTGGGATTCACAGCTTCGCAAAAATCTTCATGCTGCTGGTTATTAGTTGAATCCAGGTTGTCGTTACAATGATGAAGAATTTGAAAAACATAAGTTCACAACATCAGGCCTTTTGGATGTCATTGAGAAATATGCTTATGGGGATCCTTATTTAAATTCTAAGTTGACAAGTGAGATGAGAATATTCAAAAATGCTGAGTTAGATTTTGGAAGGCCATCTGCTACACGCGAACGAAATACCGTGATGCCAGGTAAAATTTATCATTGATATCTTCTTTTTTATGAGCATTAATTCTTATTATTGCTGAATAATATTAATACTAATTTATTTTATCACATGCAATATTCTAGATCAATGGTGGGAATCTTATGGATGTGGTGCACCAAATTTGCAAAAATTGGCTATTCGTGTTTTAAGTCAAACATGTAGTGCTTCGGGTTGTGAACGCAATTGGAGTGCATTTGAACATATTCATTCGAATAAGAGTAATAGATTAGAGCACCAAAAGCTTAATGATCTTGTCTATGTCCGTTACAACTTGAGGCTGGCACAAAGGTATTATTTAATATTTACTTTTTTTTATATAATTATTTCTCCAAGTATTTCTAATGTTGAAAATTGAACAAATTTTTTTTTGTATGCATAGGAATCGATTGAAGAATCAAAACTATGATCCAATAAATTTTGAAACATTTGAGGACCATTCTAATTGGGTACTAGAGGATTCACCACCATACTTAACAGCTGAAGAAATGGAAACCTTACATAATAAGCTTGCAAATATGTCCATTCAACCAACTCTAGATGATAATGGTGTGTTTAGTTATTGTTCTATGATTATTTGATTGTTTGATTACTTCATGTTAATAACTAACTTACATGAAAAAATAATATTTGTTTTAGATCAATTAAATTTGGATGATGATGATGAAGATGAGGCACAAGACAACACCATGGAAAATGCAAATCAAACTGAAGGCAATGTTGGTCAAGCTTTGGATTTATTTGATGAAGGAGGAGAGGATGAATTAATTGACACAACTTTGCCTCCGCGGGCATAATTATATGTTTTTGTACTAGTAATTTGATTTGTTTGTTTTCTCTTGATATCGACAAGAGTTATTGTTCTAAACTTGTGATAGATATTAAGTGTTTAAGAACTAGACAAATATTATATATTTGTTTTATCTTTTGTTGGACAATAGTATATGATTTATTGCTTTTTAAATTAGAATATTTGGAATTAGTATTTTTTTTACAGGTATTTGAGTATAAATTACAGGTTTGCATATACTTACCAAGTCATGCGATTGAACCAGTGACCCAGTACCTCGACCGGGTCGAGTTTAATATTGTTTCCAACAGGCTAAGCTAGCCCAACCGTAGCAAGTAGGTTCGACACCACATCTCAATCCAAAACTTAAAGACATTGAACTCATGGGTCCATCTACTTATATACTTATTATCAATCAATGTGAAACTCATCACACTTAAATAACCCAACACGTTAGATGGAATTCATAACAGGACACAAATCTGCAGCGATATAATCATTAAAAGAAATTTAATAACTAGCATACCTTCGAAAATTTTAACCATTTAAGTAAGATGCTAGAAGTTAGTTTATACATATGTATAGACTAATTGAGTAAAGCACTTCTCTACCTCTTGTTAGGTATTACAAAAAGAAGAAACAAGAAGCATTCGATTTGAAGTTTGGAACTATGAACGGCACATGTGAACTGAATTGGATTCAAAAGATACGATGGATTTTGGTAGCTTCCGTATGACGGGAAACACCATGTGTCGCAATGGCAGTCCAAAAGAGTCTTTATCTACTTTAGGAATGTGGAACTGTGGGGCTTTTTGGATGAGTAGTGGTCACTGGTCACTAACTTTGTGATATTGAGTTCTAGAAATGCAAATACATTAAAAATTTAATAACCGGAATTTTGTCGCTCCTGTGATTCTGTATAAGATTAGTTAATTAATTAATGGATCGATAAAGAAATTTTAAAATAAAAAATAAAAAATCAAAATGAAAGCTTCAAAGTAAAATATTTTTTAGAGTATAATTTTTTTTTAATATTATTTATTTATTAAGATGAAATTTGTGGTGATGAGTATAGGCATTTAAAACAAATAAAAAGTCTTCTCTTAAAATTAATTCAATAAATCTTTATATTTTGGAAAACTACCCAAACATAATTAAGTTACTGTGAATGAAGTATGACTTAAAGATCCAAATTTTTTATCCATTAAACAAGAAATTGGCTCCATTTTTGTGCCCACAACAATCTCAATCTCGTTTGGATGAGTTTTTTTTTAGCCAAAAGCTACATTTTAAAAAAATATTTTTATTACAAAGTTTGTTTAAATGTCTTCTTTAAAAAAAGTAGAAGTTAAGAAAAACTTACTTTTATTTAGAAGCTAAAATTTTTAGCTTCTAAAAAAATAAAAATCAAAAACAAAATATTTTTTCGAAATTCAAATATTTTTTAAAAATCTAAATAGCTTTAACTTTTGTAAAAAAATACTCCTAAAATAAACAAGCCATAAAAAATATTTTTTTTATAAGGCTATCCAAACAGGCTTAAAAGTAGAATTGGTAAGAGTAGAAATTTTCAATTAAGTTAGTTGGGATTGTAATTCTGTCAAAATATGTTGTTAGTGAGTCATATGGTACCTCTTGTAATACTTGTTGAGCATCGAGCCTGTTCTGACCATGAAATAGGATAACCATACGAGATTCTAATTTTCTTCATACCAAGAAAAAAAAAAATAATAGTAATAATAACCTCTAATATGAATTAATGAATGTGAATGCATTATTGTATAAAGAACCTTTCAGCTACCAAAGTTAAGAAGACAATGAACAAGGTGGAGATGATTAAAAGAAAGGATTCCATAATTTTGTTCGGCAGATTTGCATTTTTTAGTTTTGTTTCTTTTGCAAATTTTGTAATTTTATGTGTTTTGATTTTTCATAGTTGGCTTATGTTTTGATCAAAACAATATTCAGCTAATTGTCAAGGGGAATTATCAAAGTGCATGGTGCATATAAAACAAATTGGATCCCGAGCATTGACAATAGTTTTATATTGAATACCGAGCATTTGACAATATATATATATATATATATATATATATATATATATATATATATATATATATATATATATATATATATATAGAACTGTTGAACTAGCAGTTCCACATTCAAACATTATCAAAACAGAGTTCAAGTTATTTTTATTTTTTATGTATTGGTGGCTGTATAAGCAACTTCACTCAAAAATATTATAAAGGTATGTATTTTATGAAATTCTCTTATAATAATAAACTGCTATTCCCTAAACTCGGAATGGTATGGTTCAATTCCCTAGTAAAAGGTTTAAGGGGTTAGTCTTACCTTTAAAAGGTGTAAGAATATCTCATATAAGAATTTTTTTTAAAAAGGAAAAAAACTTGTATTACATTTATATTATTTTATCAATTTTATTTAATTTTATCTTCTTCTCTTTTTTTTTTTTTTTTTTATATATCTCCGAGCTACCATGGTTAAGTACTGATTTTGCATCCCACGAAGCAACCAAAACTAAAGTAAAATGTTATTAATCTATGCATGGCTTCGGTTTCGAAGATGAAAATTGTGAAAGAAAGAATAATCAATGTGTCTTTTAACACAAACACAAAAGAGAGTGTCCTCTCTTCTAGCCTCTTAAAGTGCTTTATACGCATTCCCCATCCATTATTTGCCTGACCTCAATCTTGTCTACTTTATATGCACATGCATTTAAATCACTTTTCTTCGACTGGTAAGGAATGTCACTATGTGGAAAGCTCAAGGAGAAGCTCCTTTTTTCATAAAAAAGAGATATATTTACCAACATCTATCCGTTTAAATAATAAGAAATTTATTCGTCTTAATCATAGATCTCAACTTCGAGTTCTTAAAACGGAGAAAATAATTTTCAAAAGTCGTATTATAATGAGTTCAATAATATTCAAACAGTATAAGTTGAATAATCGATGAACAAGTAAATATGTTCAAGGAAAAAAAAAAAATCACTCTCCGTTAAACCGGCTGGCGAGTGTGGAGTGGAGGAATACGCAGCCTTACCCTTGCATAATTGCAAACCTTACCCTTGCATAATTACAAACCTTACCCTTGCATATAATTGCAAAGAGATTGTTACCTGGATTGAACCTATGACTTTTCAGTCATGAAGAGACGGTTTTACCACTGTTCCGGTTCGCTACTTTAAATATGTCCAAGAAAAAGAAAAGAAAAGAAAACCTATTTATGTAATAACTGATTTCCTTAATTGTGGTTTGCAGAAAAGTCTCACTCATTAGTAACAACATAATATGCAATGTGCCCCCATGGTAGCGAAGTGTCCCTGAATAGACAGAGACAGCAATGGTTCTCCACTCATCTCCTAAGTAACCACTAACGAGTCAACCACTCCTCAAACTTAGCACACTCCCAAGCAGTGATAATAAATTGGAGAACAGAACATAACCACCACTACATCATATATATATTATATATATATTATATATATATAAAGCTGAGGAATAAAACAAAGGATCCAGATCAAAGCAGACACAGCTAGCTATCCACAATGGCACTGAAAATTCACTTCTCAATCCTTTCCATAGCAGTTTTGGCCATATGCACTTCTGCAGATCTCTGTAAGATTTCATTTTTCATTTGAGTTTAACTCACTTTGGTTTGCTTCACACAAACTATTGTTTTCCTTAAGCTCTCTTCAGGTTTTTAGAGAGGTCTAGTTTTGTCATTCTAGAAACTGTTAAGATAAAATATTAGTATATATGTTATTATTACTTGGTATGTTGTTACATAATTGAAGTTTTTTATTTCCTTTTACAATAGATTCGGTTAATTTTAGCTATACGGGTGAAAATGGTCCTGAGCATTGGGGAAGTTTGAGTCCATCTTTCGCAGCATGCTCAAATGGGAAAGCTCAGAGTCCTGTGGACCTTAAGAAGGTTGATATTGTCTTGAACAAGCATTTGAAGTCCTTAGATGAACATTATCTTCCCACAAATGCCACTCTGGTCAACAACATATTCAACATTGGGGTTTGTTCTTGAACTTCAAAATAACCTTTCATCCCATTTAAGGACTTAGGGATTTAGATTCGTCTCAAGATAGAACAAGTTCTATTTTGTATTTTCAGTGGATTGATTTTATTCCTTTGAATAGACATATCCATATGTGATTTTTTCTTCATCTGACTCAGGGATTTTTTTAGGGGTTTGCATTTATCATTTAAACACAAGAAAGTTTCCTACACACACAACATTTGTGGGGCCCACACTTTTTGAATCAAAAAAAAATAATTACGGCACGCAAAACAAATCTCTATAACATTACACAATCAATTTTCCTACAACATAACTCTTATAAAACTCATTTTTTTAACGTTAAAATATGAGTTTTTATTTTTATTATAGAATAGATTATATTTATCACTTTTTTCTTACCACCTCTTGCTATCAATCTTATTATCGTTGGATCAAAATCAAATCAATGGCTCTCACTTGATGTCATTTTGTAACCATTAATTTCATTTTGATCCAATACTTATAAGATTGGTGGTAAAAAAAAAGCTGGTAAATATAAACTCTCATTTTATTATTACTATAAATTTAAAATTTATTTGAATTTGATAAATAACACGTCCCCATATTATTGCCAATAACACTTTTTGACATAGTTTGTTTTGTATTGATTTGTATTTTTCGAGCCAAAGAGAGGAAACTTGAATTTAAGACCCTCTCCTTCCACACAAAAAAAAGGGGGGGATCCCATTTTATAATTTCTCATTTTGTTGTCATGAAAAAAATTACACAATTATAACGTAAGGTTGTTAAGGAATTTTCAGTTTCAACTGATATGCTTAAGTTTTTTACATTTATAGGTGCATTTTGAAGGACAAGTAGGAGATATTAATATAAATGGAAAAAATTACTCCTTGAAACAATTGCACTGGCATTCTCCTGCAGAGCACCGGGTCAATGGTTTTAAGTAAGTTCCCTCTTCCCTCTCTTCTTTCGCTCCCTCTCTCTTCTTCTCCATGGACACATGCACACACAAATTATAATATGAGAAACCTCTCTTAGTATAAGTAAAAGGGAAATCATTTTATCATGTCGTTGGAGATTGTTTTATCACGTTGTGAGGTATCGAAATTCGTGCTATCTTTTTTTATTTTTTATTTTTTTAATAAGTGGTAAAATCTATCACTTATTGTGTACATAGCATGAGAAATGTCAGTAACATGAGAAAAAGAGAAAATCTAAATAAAAAGTGCTAAACAGTAGAAATGTTTTTCTGTGAAATCATTTACTAAGGCCGAATTTGGAAGGGAAGGGGATACAAGAGAAGAAAGGTTTTTTTTTTTTTTTGAAAAAAATGAAAAGTACTTTTATTCTTTTGTTTAAGAGTGAAAAATATGATAACAGACAAAATCAAAGGATTCATGAGATATTTTTATAATATATTCCTTTTTAAAAACCTAATATAATTATTATACTTCTCAAATAAAATTAAATTGAATACAATTAACGTTGCATTTCTATTTTCCATTTCTGTCTCTCTCGCCCTCTCCCTCTCCCTCTCGATGGATCCCATTCACATTTCAAACCAACAACGTAGAAAACCTGCATTCTCTCTCTCTCTCATTTTGATTGGTTGCCATAAAACAAACAAAATGATATCAGTTATAACTATTATTTTATCATAAAAAAATTTCTGCTTTTTCTGTAAAAATAATTTTATGCCGGACACATTGTGCAATTTTTTTTTAAATTAATGGGTCTCATTTTTATATAAAAAAAAAAAAGAATGTCTATGTAATAGAGATATCTTATCTGCTGGCGAGGCAGAAGATTAAAAGCCTTTAATTTTATTACCGTTATTTATAATGTTATTAGTAAGAAGGGAAATCATATTCTTCTGCAACAGAAAAATTGTTCTTTATTTCCAAAAAAAAATAAAAAATTGTTCTGTTATGCATTAGATATATTTTTCTTAAGTGGGTCCCACTATTTAATAAAATAAAAAGAAATAATTGTTAATACGAATTTTCATGAGTGTGCAGAAAAAATTGATATCTTCTGTGGCGCAGAAGAAAATATAACCCCTATTAAGAATTATAACTATCATAGTTATTACTCTTATATGTCATTTTATTACTGCTATATATATTTTATGTCTTTAATTTTCAGAAATTGTGCAATTTTTTTTCCAGGTAGAGCTGTATTTTTAGGTGTATCCGTGTATATATATTAGAAGAGAGAGAGGAAATTGGATAGAGAAAGTTTGGATTTTAATACTAAGGGCGGATTGTTAGATGATATATATATATATATATATATATATATATATATATATATATATCTTTAAAAAGGCCCTCATCCAATACCTTAAGATTTTGGATTGAAGTGAGTCTTAATATAGTATCAGAGCTTGAGTGACTACAAGGTCACAAGTTCGATCCTCACCGTCCCCCACTTTAAAGTGCAATATCCACGCTTCTAGTCCAAAGTGCTCTTGCGTGAGGGGATGTGTTAGAGAATATATAAATCATTAAAAAAACCCTCACCCAACACCTTAAGATTTTGGGTTGAAGTGGTTCTTACCACGGATAAATAATTTCAAATATTTGTTATCCTTAAATCATCTAAATTGAATTTTTTTGATTTTAAAGGTGAGAAGAGTTTTGGAGGGTTAACAAAAATCCTAAATTCTTTTCTCTTATTTTTTTAAACTAACAAATATGGAGAAGACATAAGTAAAATCTTCACCTTCCTTCACTTTCTCTCCTAAGAGTGAAATTTTTTTTATCTATTTAAGGGAGAGGTTATAGTTACAACTTTTTTTTTTACAACCTCTTACAACCATATATCATAATATTACTATTTTCTCTTTCCAACCATAATTAGTTATAAGACATTACCTAAATTTTCATATCAATTAGTATTCCCAATTATAAATTCCTTATTAAGTATAACCTTTAGCCAACGGTAGCTCCAGGAAGTGGGGCAATATAAATTTGGTTAATATTTGTTTATAATTGTGTAACACATAATAACATAATATCTTTTCAAAATCTAATAAAAGATTAGATTTTATTTGTCTAACCGTAATAATGCATGTCAAGTTTTAATTGAGTTTGCTGCCACTAACTAAAAAAATCAAGAAATTAATATTTTTTTAATATTAGAAATCTTGTGATAAGGTAATCCTACAGAATACTAAAAGAATACGAAGTAATAAAAAAATCAAGTTTTATTTGTCACTAACTTTATTTAATTTAAACTTAATCAATACTATCTTCATTAAGTGAAATTTTGATTCAATGAAGTTAAACAATTATCCTTTAAAAAGATTATTTTTAGCTTAATTATCCTTTAGAAAGTTATTTAGTTGTATAATTTTAAAACAACTCTTTTATGGTCTTTTTTTTTTTCTTTGAATAAATTCATTTTGAGTCTCTAACAAAAAATATGGTCTTTACTTTAGTCCCTTACAAAAAAAATTAGTTCTGAGGTCCCTAAGAAATTCAAAATGGGCTTATTTAGTTAAAATTGTGACCTCTCATAAATTCAAAAAAAACTCACACTAGTTCCTCAAAAGGATTAAAATGGGTCCACTTTGAATTTCATACAAACTAGGTGACTAATTTTTTTTTTGTAAGAAACTAAAAATGAGGATCGTAATTTTTATTAGGGATACAAATTTTTTTTTATCTATATCATGTCTTTATAAAACTCTTAGATTCAATTCTATGTTCTGACTAACTAGTTGAGAAGCATGACTCATCATGAGTCATGAACCATTTCGGGTTAAGGTTTTTCAAAATTCAAATCAATTTATCAGGATACAATTGTATAACTCTAAAAATCCAGTCCAACCCAATTCTGTTTTTTATGATTTTACTTACAATGATATTAATCTAGATTGATTTGAGTTAAAGGGCACAAATTGAATTGAAGGACCAAAAACCAACCTAACCCATATACAACTCTAGTTTGGGCCTTCTCGGCTTTGTTGTACAAGAAGTACATGTAGGAAATGACAAAGCAATTGTAATACCCAGATGTCCAAAAGTCCTAGTCAAGCCCTTCCTAGTTTTGGGCATGCTCATGGTTCAAGGACCTCTGTAAGTTTCAAAGCATAAAATATAACATATGACTCCCTCTCTTTCAATGAAGAGCAACTAGAGTTATTGGCTGTATTCCGAGTTCAAAGTAGTTGGAGGAGATTGTGTGAGAATACCAAGTTATTTATAAAAAAAAAAAATGCATCAACAAAGTGAATTTTCAATAGTTTTATTGTTTTGTTATTGATATGAACTCAGGGGTTTGATTTTCTCATGTTAAATAAGAATTCAATTCTCATGTTGTAGAGACAAAAAACATGTGAGACCCATGTGTTAGAAAAAATTATATGTAGAACTCATGTCAGCACGGAAATCGAAGGGTGTGTAGGAAAATTTCAATTCTCATGTTGAATGAGAATTATAAAACCCATGAACTTATCATATATGTTTTGTTTATTGGACCAAATGAGGCCCTTATAAGGGGTCACTCTCTACATCTCTAAAGTGAAACAATTGGATTGTTCTTAGAGGGAGTCTCACTTCCCAAACACATATATCTCATGCATTAAGTGAGGAAGATTATCTTACACCTAATGGGACTCATGAAAACAAAACGGTTATGACCCTATCTCTTCACTCATTATTGAAGAATCTTCTCCACCTATATATACCTTTCTACAATTGAAGAGACATCTTTTGCATATCTATGTTCATATTGTCACTACCGTCACAGAGTCGTTGTGCCAAACACTTTCCCTAATTCTCAAATAGTGACTCTCCATTCAGCATAGGTTCATACATATGCCAGTTCACTATAATGTTGATATACTACCCTATAGAAGGGGGGGGGGGGATCCATTTCTACCACACCGACACTCCACTTATATATGTAAATATATTTTATCATAATCTTGACTATTAATTTTCAATCAACCATTATAATTCTATAATTTTCTCCATACATTGCCACCTTTCACTCTTACCACTAAAATATAATTGTTATGAAGATTCTATTGACTTTTACAATGTTAGTGACTAATGACACACAAATACAGACATGACGCGGAGATGCATCTAGTCCACCAGACCAAAGATAATGACACGGCAGTTGTGGCAGTGCTCTACAAATTGGGTGATCCCGATCCTATCATCTCAAAGGTAGAGTTGAAGTTGCAATCACTTGTGTTCTAAATTCATGTGGTTCAAAGGTAGAGTAGTACTTGGAAACTTTATAGTTGGGTAGTACTAAATATGATGTTAATGGGTACAGATTGAAGACAAGTTGATTGAATTGGACAAGGAGACCTGTGCAGGTTATAAGGGTGCCCCTATTGCTCTTGGCACCTTTGATGTAAAGGAGATAAATACAAGGACCCACAAGTATTATAGATATGTTGGCTCTCTCACTACTCCTCCATGCACACAGGGTGTCACCTGGCACATCCTTAGGAAGGTAATTTATCTGAATACTCTCATATCTCGTTTTAGGATCAGGATTCTTTGACACCAGTATCAAATTTTGAAATTTGACATCAAATTTTAACTGTTGTTTTCCTCCAATTAATGATTATAATTTATTGGAAATTAATAATTAATTAATAGGTTTAATTGACGAAAATTATAACTGTTAATTGACAAAAATTTGACACCAAATTTTAATAGTTGATTTGCTCCGATCGTGAGCAATTTTTATCTCTTAACTAATATGAAAATTTCAAGAGCTTTATTATTAAATTTGTACTCGCTGATGTGTGAATAAGATTTTTCAAAGGACGCAATCATAATAAAGCTAAACTTGAGAATATCCATTTACGTAATGCACATATGGAAAATATGCATATAGGTTTGCAAGGGGAAAGTTATATTATATTTTTATTATTTTTTGGCAACACGGCTAATTCAAATGAGCATGCAGGTGAGGACACTCTCCAAAAAACAATTGGAGCTCCTAAAGGCACCACTGGGCGTAGGGTTCAAGCACAATGCAAGGCCAGTTCAGCCACTGAATGGTCGCAAAATTGAGAAGTACTGCCATCCCAGCAAGAGGCATAGAGACTCAACGAAATATCATAAATAAATTATTTGAGTATCATGTAGTTTTGCATAGGAGAGTATCTTACTCTGTTTACCCTGCTTTTAACAGGGACGTTGGGGCATTATCTAGTATAGTTATGGGATATATTTTTGGGGTTTAAGTCCCTTATGTTGTAGGACAGGATGATGATTTTCTGCGTACACAATATTACATGAGATCCACTGCTTTAATAAATAAAAAAAACAGAAAAAAAGCTCAACACATTTTTCTATGGTAAACAGCATATGGTTTTTGTTTTCATGCAATATAACAGTTGTATTTCCCTAAATTTTTAGTTCTCTTAATTACATATTAGAGATAGGATTAACTTACATCGGTATAAAAATAATAAGTCTTGTATCAAATCTTAATCGTTGATCCTATACATTTAACCGTTTATTAGATTACAGTTATCAGAATAAATCAATAGTTAAAATTTAATATAAGACTTATTATTTTTATAGCAATGAAAGTTGATATTGCCTCTACATACTATACCTACTTAAATTATAACACATAACTCAACAAGTTGTCAAGGAAATATGTATGAATGCGGTTAAACGGGTCCTTGTGTTGTAATTTAATAAGATATTACATGATCATTAAAAATTTATCCCTATTAAAAATGGGTTTTATATTTCTCATTTTACAGGAAAAATATTGTTGGTTATAGCATAGAGAAGATTTGAGAGAGAGACACAAATATAAGAAAAGATAAAATGAGCCCCACATCAAACCTTCTCTCTGCAAGAACCAATAATGTTTTTCCTAAAAAATGAGATAGATAAAACTCATTAAAGAAAGGGTTTAGTCACTGCCATTTTAAAGGACACAAGCTTATATATTTTTAGTTGTTTTAACTATGTATTCTCAAAAATGCATAGTTATAATATTAAAGTTATACTTTTTTCTTTTCACGTCAGCATACAGCTTTTGAAAAGAGAAAAAAAAAGTGCAAGCTTATGTCCTTTTAGCAGTTTTTAACTATATATTTCCGAGAATACATAGTTATAATATTTAAAGTTGTACTTTTTTCACTTTCCACGTGAGCAGACAGTTTTTTGAGAGAGAAAAAATACAACTTTAAAGGGCCGTTTGGTGGAGGAGAATTTTTCTTTACCCGAAAATTACGATTCCCAGAAATATCCTGGCAAAGTGAATTTTCTGATAATGTTACCAAAAAACTATTTGGTAGGTTAAAATATTCTCAGGAAAATTAAGCCAATTTTCCTAATGATATGTTTTGTGGATTATAAAATATTATTGGAAATTGGTCCCAAAAAAAATATTATTGGAAATGTGTACCAAATTTACAAAATTAACCTTAATCCCAAACAACACACCAATGCAAATCTCCAACACCCAACCACTTCACACTCTCGCAATCAGAGACACAACACACCATTCAACCAATATCATTGAACTCCAAGTTCCCCATTTTGTTCTTTTCTTCTTTTGAACGTCGTGTGGTAGAGGACCTATATATTCCTTCATGTAATAATCTGAACAAATTTGTGTTTGGAAGTGTTGGAATAAAAAAAAAGGATATATATATATGTATAATATAACAAGAAAATTTTAGTTTTTACCAGCGTACACAAATTTAGAAGAGAGAGAAAACAAAAAGCCAGTGGATCCCAATTAACTTTGTGTTTGCCGGAAAAATAAAAAATTTCATGTTACATGATAGATATATATCCAAAAAAAGGGCTCAAATTTTATGTGGGTTCTTCTCTGACCATGTGGTTTGCTTGCAGCTCTACCTCTCTGTGGTGGTACTTCTAGTGGTCACGGTGTTGCAATTATGGGTCTTCTGCCACTCATGCCAGGTTGGGATTTGATGTAAGCAACACAACCCAAAAGGGATTTGGTTGGCAAAAGAAGAGAGGAGAGAGGAGAGAGAGAGAAGGAGTATTTTGTTCCAAAAGTATTTGAAAAATTTCCCCTCGAAATCTAAGAATACCACCACTTGGATGGTATTCTTGGATAGTATTTTCAATCACATGTTGCACATAAATGAAAATCTCAGGAAAATATTCAGAAAAAACGTAACAAACATGGGCTAATATGATTATCACCCTCACTTTCTCAGGAATCTAAAATAAATTCCTCTACCAAACGCCCTCTAACATTATAACTATGCATTCTTACGAATACATTGTTAAAAATTATTAAAATGATATAAGTTTATGTCCTTTAAAAAGTACACTCCTTTAAAGAAATTCAACATTGGAAAATGGTTCTTTATTATTATTATTATTTTGAAGATATTCTAATCAGTTCATCACTTCATGACTAGTTCGATTCGGGATGAGTATCGAGATTAAAGCTTTAAACCCTCCCAAATGTTTCTTTGTTCTAATTATGCTATGTGTGACGCTTGTTCAAAGATTGAGATCAAAGCACCTCTTTTTTTTTTTGTAAGTTGAGATCAAAGTAATTTGTGTTTAGTCTTTTTAGATTTCATTAATATTCACTTAATTGTATCAATATCGCTGGATTACAATAGTGACCAGTGGCGGAGCCAGAGAAAAAAGTTAGGTAGTGCCAAAAGATTGAGCCAGTAGAATTAGGTGGTGCCAAATTTGTATTGTTTTTAAAAATCCAACTAATATAAAGGCTACCAAGGCACCACCTACCTTTCAAGTGGCTCCGCCACTGATAGTGACATTCGTTTGAACGTTTTTATTTATTTCTCTTTAAAGTTTATTTATATTGTATGAATACATTAAAACAAATCTCCTATGCTCCTGAAATAATTTTAATTTGAGATAAAAACTCTATAAAAAATGTGAATTTGATCTTGTTAATGATAAACCTTATAAAAAAAGAAGTGTAACACATAATTTCAAACGTAAAAGGCGTGATTTAAAAATACATTTTAATAAATCATGTCACTTGTGAAACCTTATTTTGGTACATAAATGAGAAATAAATTTTTTATTAATTTAATTCCTTAGAGATATTATCAATTTTATCTCTAAAACTTGAAGAAAAAAAAATTCGTCTCTTCATTTATTTAATTTAACAATGTTAACTTTAAATCGTAACAATACAAAATAATATAATATTTAGGTCAAATGATGTCATTTGGTTAAAAAACTATAAAGAAGTTTACTAATCTCATGCTACATAAGATAGTACTTTCATGTGGGTGACACAAATATGCGGGGTCCACAATGTAAAAAGAAGAGAAAAAATTGACACGAAACTCTATGAATATATGGCATAAGATAAATCTCTTATGCAACATGAGATATTATTTTTCAAAAATATATATTTCAAAAAAATTATTTTAATATATTATAAAATGGAACATTATGGTTTACCGAAAAAAAAATGGAACATTATGTACATACACAAATCTCAAGTGATGTATCATATATGAAACTAACAAAACATTATTACTTTAGCGCTAACATAGTTTGATATGTCATATCATTATTTAATATTGAAAACGATTTCAGAATTAATAATACTAAATCTAAATATATAAATAAAAAATTAAAACTTTGAAAAGATATTCTAATTCAATTCGATTTTCATTTCTTATTAGAGATATAAATATTTTATTTTATTTTAATTTACAACATTCTAGATCTTTCTATTTTCTCCTCATGCTCTTATATACAAGAGTTCATATGTACAAACACATTTACCAATCAATGAAATCAATATTTTTCATTTTCTCTCTTTTACCTTCTAATATATTAGAGATATAAATATTTTATTTTATTTTAATTTGCAACATTCTAGATCTTTCTATTTTCTCCTCCTGCTCTTATATATAAGAGCTCATATGTACAAATGAATTTACCAATCAATGAAATCAATATTTTCTATTTTCTCTCTTTTACCTTTTAATATTTCTCTTTACTTTCTTTTTTCAGTTTCATCCCTACCAATCACATCCAATTAAATACCCTTAAATAAAGTATGAGGCAAAAGTGCAAAACCTTAGGGGCTGTTTGGTACGTATTAGAAGGTAAAAGAGAGTAAAGAGAAAATATTGATTTCATTGATTGTGGTGAATTAATTTGTACAATGAGTGAGCTCTTATATAGAAGAGCATAACAGAGAAAGATCTAGAATATCATTAAAATACTAAACTACCCTTATACTTAATATCTAATACTCCCCCTCAAGATGGAGAGTGAACAAAGAGAACTTTCATCTTGAACAAGAAAAATCAAGAAAATATAATAACCAAATAAAATGAGCATCAGCCAGTAAAGAAACAGTGCTGGAATGGACATAAGCTATAATGTGCTGGGATGGACATCAGCAAAGGAAGGAAGGGCTGGGATGGACATCAGCAACCTAATATGAACTGCCGAGATGGACATCGGCAAAATTAACTGTTCTGAAATGAAATTCAGCAACATGATCAATGCTCCCCCTGAATAAGAAGCCAAAATAAAGCCAAAACAATGGCAGAAATAAACCAAATACAAGTCAAATCAGACTGGAATAACACCACAAATATATGTGAGAATAAAATCTAAGTGGCTAAATACAAGCCAGAAACGGTACATCAGAAAAATAAAAAAATCAAAATAAGAAAATAAAAAATTATAATGATGCATTGCAGTTAAATCCATGAGCTCCAAGGATCTTCATGGTCCTGCAAAATGAGAAGTGAAAGAGAACGAAGATAGATCTGAAAATAAGAATATATCAGAGACCCATATTGCAAAGGTGGACGATAACTAAGAAGAAAAAAAAAATGGCAAGACAAAAAAAACGCAGATCAGAAAAGAAAAGGCCGGAGAAGAAAAACACAGATCTGAAACGTGAACGATCTGGAACAACGGTCAGAGAGTTGGATGATGTGGCCAGAGAATGAGACACGGTCGAAGATGATTACCGGAACAGAAGAAGACGCAGTCGAAAAAGAGAAGGACATGGCCGGAAGAAGACATAAACGCAGATCTAAAAACTGGGTGTGACCGACCGGAGATTCAACGGTGACCGACCGGAAATAAAGGGGAATATCTTAACTGTAGCACAATGGTCCAATGGAAGTAATAATAAAAGACGATTTATCGCACGACGGTCCTTTAGATTTGGGTCGTTGGAATGTTTGTGGGGTTGGATGAGAATATACCAATGGAAGGAATAATAAAAGACTAGCTTAACTGTAGCAGCAATTAAGTAAGAAAAAGAAAAAAAAAGGAATCGGAAAATTCAAAAGAGTGAACCAGAAGAAG